GCATGCCAGGACTTCTGACCAAAACAAATAAATTGTGACATGTTAAATAGTTGTAACCCATAGACGCTAAGTTTGTGGTAATTGTTATGGAGAAAAAGAAAACTAGTACAGTGCGAATATTACAATGGAGTTTTAACATAACAGTTAATACTTATATTAAGGTGTGAGAAAAATGGAGTAGTTTAGTCAGGCCCCCTTGCTTCAGGTTCAGTTGGGTGTGGTGCAGCACATCCTTTGTAAACAAGTTGTGTGGAAGTAGAGTTAGTGTGTATGCACACCCGTGTATCCTTTGGCTTGCTGCTACTTTTGTGTGCCCTTTGTTGTGTGAGGCAGTGGCTCTGAACTGCTGGTCAGCAGAGCTCACTTCTAAAAATAAAACCTATTTCTTCACCCATGTCTCCAAGGACCTTTCCCTATTACCTAGCTCATAGACCTATGTGTGAAGGGTTTGTGACCCAGTCTGGACAACAGGCTCAAGGGGTCTGTGAGCTCCAGCCCTACCTCTACAGTTGGTGTAGTCTGTGATGGGGTTCTGAGCAGGTATGGGAACCAAAAGCCTTTGGGAGAAGGAGGAATGTGGCTACTCTTGAACATGTTGGGCCCTATGGCCACCTTCCTGTTGACTGGGATCTGGTTGCTGCTCACTGTACTGTAAGTCAGTACAGACCAGGCACTACAGTGGAGAACTCCTTGGGAGGGGGAGAAAATATGGCTGTCCTTGAGTATGTGGTGCCTGGTGGCCACTTTTCTGCTGACAGGACTCTGGCTGCTGCTCACTATACTGCAAGTTGCTCAAGATATGAAGCCGAAAGCAGAGTTGTTGGAAGCATGGATAAATGTCTGGGAGGATGACATGCAGACACTGGCCACCCCTGCTTCTCACAACAGGCAGGATGACAAACACGGTGGTGAGTTGGGGGGAGACCATCCAACTCTAGGTGTGAACTGTTGTGCATCAAAAGTGAAACATGAGCAGCCTATGGGACCAGGTAGACAACCAGTGAGCAACCACAGGTGACCCAATTCACTACCTATGTCCCATATACCCAAGTTGAATTAGTTGACTTGGGGAGACTGTTCTGGCAGAAACGTGGGGAGTCTCTGGCTGCTGTGGTTACAGTACCTAGGGGTCGATAGTGTGATATGCTCTTGTAAGGAGATGGAAAAATTAGCCTCCATTACCAAATGCTTCCCTGAGGCAGCAGCTGCAGAATAGCTGCAGATATGCACAAGGGCCAGGTAATCACTTCTTAATGGAGTGGGTGAATGCAGCTGCCTGAACCATGTAGGCAAATGCTGGAGAACTGCCCAAGATTGTTAGTAAATGGCAAACATATGCTAAGTTGGTTCAAATAATTCAGGAGCTGGGGATGCACAGTCCATGTTTAATGTGAACACGCATGGCCTGGATGATGAAAATTTTACAGGCAGTATGAGAGACATAGTGCTGCAAAATGCCCCATCAAAGTCCTTTGGGTCACTGATGGCCATACTGGCCCCATATGTTGGTCATCCTATACATAAAGTAATGACCATGATAGCCAGCCTGGGTGAAGTAGAGGACAGGAGACAAGCAAAAGGGGTCCAAAAGGTGGCTAAGACCAAACCCCCAAGAAATACTCTGGATTTTTTCTGGAAGGGACCAAGTAAGACTAGCCATAAGCAGATGTGGCTTGACTTGCTTGCAGCAAGGGTATATAGCAAGAAAATTGACTGGCAGCCAAACATGGTCCTCTTTGCCTTGCAGCAGCAATTGTGCCCTGAACAGCATTTCACTAAATGTCCTGAAATAGGTAGCAAGGTACGCTCAGTGGATTTAAAGGATTTTTTGGTTGCTCTCAAGGAAGCAGATGAAATGTTCCTTTTCAATTAGGGAACAGGAAAGGTATTCATCTTTTGGGGGCAAGCGAGGACCAGAGGCCTCACATTGCATTGGCAATATATTGGTCAAGGATGAATGTGCAGCATGTTTCTGCATTGGTGGATACAGGCCCAGAATGTAGCCTGATATATGGGAACCCAGATAAGTTTCCAGGGGCCAGTTTGTATAGATGACTATGGAGGACATACAATTGAAGTCAAAGCTGTGTCATTGCCATTGGGCATACAACAATTACCCCTAATGTGTATACTCTCTATATATATCCCCAGTAGCTGAATACATCTTGGGTATGGATTTACTTTATGGTTTGTACCTGCAAACAACAGTTGGAGAGTTTCAGCTGTGAATATGGACAGTAAAGCCGGTGTTATGAGGATGTGCTAAACATGACCCACAAGTGTTACCCAAGCCAAGATGTGTAGTTAACATAAAGCAGTATCACCTACTGGGAGGACATGAAGAGAAATTTACCACTATATTGGACTTAGAGACAGTTGGCATTATTTGTCCAGCTCATAGTCCATTTAATGCTCCAGTATGGCCAATAAAAAAACCTGATGGTACCTGGAGAATGACTGTAGATTATTGAGAACTAAACAAAGTAGTGCCTCCTTTGCATGCAGCCATGCCTTCAGTTCATGACTTGAATCAGCTGATGACTTGGCTGGGAACTTATCATTATGTATTGGACCTTTTTTTCTCTATTCCAATCTCAGCTGATAGCCAAGATCAGTTTGCCTTCACCTGGGAAGGGAGGCAGTGGACCATTCAAGTATTGCCCCAAGGTTATCTGCATAGCCCAAACATCTGTCCTGGTTTAGTGGCAGGGGACCTAGCCAAGTGGACTTGGCCCAGCATGGGTACAATGTTTCACTACAATGATGATGTGTTACTGACCTCTGATTCTCTTGAAGATTTAACCCAGGCAACTCCAAAACTGCTGGGTGGGACGTGAACACAGCAAAAGTGCAAGGACCTGGGATGTCAGTGAAATTCTTGGGCGTGGTCTGGTCAGGTAAGATGAGAGTCATCCCAGAAGCTATTATAGACAAGATATAGGCATATCCTGGACCCACCACTGTAGTTCAGCTACAGACATATTTGGGACTTCTGGGGTATTGGAGAGCTTTTGTACCCTGTAGGGCCCAAATGGCATGATAATGTATGGTATCATAAACCCCGTAAGATACCTATTCCTGCAACCATCCTTTCTCAGGATGGCAAACTGGCATTATCTTACCACAGTGGCGAGAACTCCCCCTATTGGTACCAATAACCCTTCTGTCTTTTTGCCCATCATGTTCTTGCTGTAGGCACTGCACCAGAGTCATGTGATCAATGTGTTGACTTACTGAATATGCACTGAACATCCCATCAGTATGACTACAGGATTCCCATGGAAAATCACACCAATGATGACTGCTAACCAGACATGTGTGGCTAATAGTTGAAAGGGCAGAACTACAGACAAGCCTTAAGGACAAGCCTTAAGGCATATTGAGCAGACAACTAGTTATATGAATGTAAGGGTCATTTATCCTCTCTATGGTAACATCACAGGAGATTCTGAATGCATAGGTTGTACAGTGAGGGACCCTGAAGGGGTGCATTGTGAGGAAAATAGAGTAGTTTTGTCAGGCCCCCTCTCCTCAGGTCTGCCTGGGTGTGGTGCAGCACATCATTTGTAAACAATTTGTGTGGGAGTAGAGTTAGTGCACATGAATGCTCATATAACCTTTGGCTTGTTGCTATTTTTGTGTGCTCTTCATTGTGTGAGACAGTGGCTCTGAACTGCTGGTCAGCAGAGCTCACATCTAAAAATAAGGCCTATTATTTCTTCACCCATAGCTCCAAGGACCTTTTCCTATTACCTAACTCACAGACCTGCACGTGAAGGGCTTGTGACCCAGTCTGGACAATACACTTGAGGGGTCTGTGAGCTCCATCCCTAGCTCTACATAAAGTTTAGCAGGGTTTTTTTCATAAAAACATAAGAATATACACAGTTGAGGGCCGGCCCGGTGCTACAGTGCGCTGCTTGGGAGTGTGGCGGCGCTCCCGCCGAGGGTTTGGATCCCACATACAGACTGGTTCCCGCTCACTGGCTGAGCGAGGGATGGGCGCAGCACCAAGGGTTGTGATCCCGCTGCCGGTCCTGGTCCGGTACGGGCGCGACACTGAGGGTTGCGGTCCGTTGCCGGACACAAAAAAAAAGACAAAAAAAAAAAAAAAAGAATATACACAGTTGAATTTAATCTCATATAAATACCATTACAACAATATTTATGGAGATGTCATAACCCAGAATTTATACATACTTCAGAAAATCTAAATTTCTCTATTAAAATTTGATCACTTTACCAATTAATCAATTAATCAAAAATTTGGTTACTGTAGTGCAATTGCAGTACATTACCTATATAATTATTATGATATATAAGGATATAAACTCCATATTGAGAAGATTCTTACATTTTAGTATCCCATCTATAAAATTAATGCCTATAGAGAAAGTAACTAAATGGGAGTTCCCCAATCCTCCAACACCCGGAAGGAGAGAAGTGTCCATTACAAGATGTGCACCGTATGCCTAAACCTCAAACTAGTGTCTCTCTTTTCTCCATCTGATTAAGTTGCATTCACTTTTATAATGATCTCAAAAGCATAATTTTGCAGATAATTAATTGGTTGCTCATTTTAACAAAATTATATGTCCAAAGTATGATATTAAACTCAATAGAATTCTTTGCCAAGGTTAAATCTACTGTATATTAAGAGACACAAGTTTAATAGGTGCAATAGAAAATGAGGTAGTATGATGGGCAAATGTCTCTCATTTGTTAAATGATATTAAAAAGATATATACTTTTTTATTTTCTATTGCAACAAATATTTACCTATAGCCATACACTGAACTTACCACTACCACAACAGCAACAAAATGAAATGTTTAACCAAACGTGAAGGCAAATAGTTTTTTTCTTGATTTTATGTGGTTGTCTGTAAATCTGCCAAGTTAGTAAATATAAGATACTTGATTGAACTGGTTCAATATATAATTTTAAGCATAAAGCTAAGTATGTAAAGAAAAATCAGTGTTTGGAGAGCATTAAGCCACTCACTTTCCAGACTTACAATTTCCTACCAGCGTCATGAATGCCCTGCCCACTTCTTTGTTGCGAAGGCTGTAGATGAAGGGGTTCAGCATGGGGGTGAGGATGGTGTAGAAGATAGATACCATCTTGTCCTGGATGGGAGAGCGGTCAGAAATGGGTCGCATGTATATGAACATGGCTGCTCCATAGTACATTGCCACCACCATGAGGTGGGAGGAACAGGTGGTGAAAGCTTTGCGGCGACTCTCCCCAGAACCCATGTGTATGACAGCCAGAATCACATGAGTATAGGAAGCAATGATGACTGCCACAGGGAAGAGAAGCATAATTATACAGCAGATAAATATCATCCTTTCAAATAACAACGTGTCCGTGCATGATAGAGAAAGAAGGGCGGGGATGTCACAGAAAAAATGGGGTATTTCCCGGGCACCGCAGTATGAGAAAGACAATGCAACTGCACCTTGAATTATACCATCAAAGGAGCCAAGAATCCAGGAGGAAGCAGCCATGAGGCTACAGATTTTCTGGCTCATAAGAATTGGGTATCTTAATGGGTGGCAAATGGCAATATAGCGGTCATAGGACATTGCAGCCAACAGGAAACACTCAGCCCCAAGCAGGGAGATATAGAAGAATATCTGGGTTCCACAACCTGCCAGAGAGATGGATTTCCTGCCAGACAAGTAGTTGAAAGCCATCTTGGGTACCGTGGTGCAGATGAGCATGAGGTCCATGAGGGACAGTTGACTGAGGAGGAAGTACATGGAAGTGTGGAGCTGGGTGTCCATGTAGATGAGGAGAACCATGGTAGAGTTCCCCACGAAGGTCACTGCAAAGATGCTTAAGACCAACATGAAGAGGAAAGTATGTGTGGGGCTGTGACTGAAGATTCCCAGCAGGATAAAGTCAGAGTTGAAGGTCTTATTCGTCCATGCCATGATGAATATGGTCACTGTGAAGAATACAACATGGAAAAAGTGTCAAAGTGTGTATCATGGAAATATCAAGAATTTTTTTCCTAGATGACTACATCAGCAAAATTGTCTCTGCATGAGAAAATTATTATTCCTCTGGACACTGACTTTTTCTTTTCTATCACAGACTATGAATAATAAAGCTTATTTTCAGGTTGTCATGATTTGTAAATCTAAAGTGTATAGCTAAGAGGCATAGCAGGCTTCATAGTAAGAGCACAGGAGGTTTCTCAAGATTCATATAATCTAGATTGAGGAACAAGTCAATTCAAAAGTGTAGTGTACATCATTTTTTCATAATTACACTAAAATAATGAAGAGACTTATGAATTGCTGTAAAATTCCATAACATTTCTGTTATAGATATTCCATGGAATTCAACACATCACACTATAATACTAACAAAATTCTGTCTAAGAAAGCATAGGGGGAAGTATGTACTAAAATGAGACATAACTTGTCAAATGCCAGGTAAACAGAAGAAATTGAGATATCAATATTCAAAATATATTAATTGGGGGCCGGCCCTGTGGTGCACTCGGGAGAGTGTGGCGCTTGGTAGTGCCGCGGCGCTCCCGCTGTGGGTTCAGATCCTATATAGGGATGATCGGTGCGCTCACTGGCTGAGCGCGGTGCGGGCAACACCAAGCCAAGGGTTGCGATCCCCTTACCAGTCACAAAATATATATATATATATATATATATATATATATATATTAATTGATACTTATTGCTAATAAAATTGAGTCATAGAAGTCACCAGTATTCCCTTCCCTCACTTCTTCCCTAAAAACAAGGTGGGTCCATGAGGCAGTAAGGTATAGGATATTTTACTGGAAAACCAGGCTAGAGGAAAATGGAGCAAAATTTAAATTCCTGCTGCAGACTATTTTAGCTGTGTGAACTTAGACAAGTATTCATTTCTCTATTATTTTTCATTCTGTACATTTGGGTATTAATAATGTCTATATTATAAGGTGTTGTGAAGACTAAATCAAATTATATTGTAAGCTATTTAAAACATTACCTGAAATATCATTTATACAATATACATACTTTAAATTAAATAATATTGGAGGGAATAGAGCCTATTTCTACTCTATCTCTAGACTATTCTAGTTTATAAAAATATTAATATCTTCCATTTTCTTTTGAAAGACTCTTTTAAGAATATTTATTTGCCTAACAAGTAATATCTTTTTAATTTTCTCTTTCCACATCCACTTATTTTCTTTTCTGTGCCTCTTCTTCTTAAGGGACAGGGCATTGGCTTACTTTCTTTCCCTTCTCTTACCTGTTGTGCTCTCTTAATATTGTGTTCCCTTAATAACCTCTGAAAAAATTGTTCACTTTGTCTTTTCAAATTTTGTGTCTTCCCAACTATATATGTTCAGTAATCAACAATTCTGTGACTATAACAACTTTCCCATTATAACTAAGATGTTCACTATATCCTAAATTGCTAATCAGTTCTAAATAATATTAATTTTTTTCTCCCAAGAGTTTGTTTTACAAAAAGATAAACAAAATTGACAAGACTTTAGCTAAACTACCGAAGGAAAAAAAGAAGATTCAAATAAAATGAGAAATGGAAAAGGATACACTGCACCTCCTACCACAGAAATACACAGGACCATGAGACTACTATGAAAACCTACATGTGAACAAACTGGAAAACCTGGAAGGAATGTGTAAATTACTGCACACATACAATTTACCAAAGTAGAATCATGAAGAACTAAAAAACCTGAACATACCAACAAAAAGTCATGAGATTGAAGCAGCAATAAAAAGCCTTCTGACAAAGAAAACTCCAAGATTAGATGGCTTCACTGCTAAATTCTAGAAAATATTTAAGCAATAATTAACAGCAATTCTTCTCAAACTCTTCCAAAAACTAAAAGAGGAAGGAATGTTTCCAAACTCACTGTATGAGGCTAGCATCACCTCATACCAAAACTGGAAAAAGACACAGCAATAAAGAAAACTAGAGACAGTATCCCTCATGAGCACAGACATGAAGATCCTCAAGAAAATACTAGCAAACAGAATCCAACAACACATTAAAAACATCATACACCATAATCAAGTTGGATTCATCACAGGTATGCAAGGATGATTTAACATATGCAAATCTATAAATGGGATACATCCCATCAACAGAATGAAGAAGAAAAAATATGATCATTTCAATGGATGCAGAAAGAGTATTTGATAAAATCCAACACTCCTTCGTAATAAAAACACTCCAGAAATTAGTATAGATGGAAGGTACCTCAATACAAAAAAAGCCTTATATTACAATCCCACGGCTAACATCATACTGAATGGTCCTAAATTGGAGGATTTTCCTCTAGGATCAAGAAGGTGACAATGCTGCCTACATTCTCCATTTTTATTACATATAACACTAGGAGTTCTAGCCACTTACACAAAAAAGTAAGAGAAAATGATAAATTGCATTCAGATCAGAAAGGAGAAAGTTGAACTATTCTTATCTGCAGATGACATGAC